AATGTAGATAAACAAACGAATATAAGGATAAGTATCATTCTAAAAATAGGCTAAAAACAACTACAGCGTAACAGGGTACAAACTACAAGAAGAAACTGTAAACAACAGATATAGGACCATAAATGATAGGAATATGCAACAAACAAATGGAGTTAGTTCACGGGCTGCACGCACGAATAGAATGTATTACGAACTGTGTGCATATTTGGGTGCGTAAGCTGACAATGTACAACATTCAAACAGCCGCTCAGTGTCTTCAACCAGTTGTGGCTAGGTAGTAACTTTTAATGCAACAGAACAAAGATAATAATTGTTAGACATGAAAGATAGTCAGCGTACTCACTAAAAGTTGCGCTATGAATAGCTGTGCTTATCGGTTCCAGTTGTAGTTTGGAGTTAACACTGAATATACCAAATCAGATTAGCTTCCTCTGTTCACTGAACGTGTTCTAAGGTGAAGTCTCGAGGCAGGTGGGGCCTGGAAAACGCGCTACTTTTTGCTTCTGTAGCGCTGGAGAACGGTATATGTGATCCGAGAACGCACCTAGTGACATTAACAACTAACACATGCTACGTTCTTGCTGGCCCTAATCTAGTTATATTACTCTGGCATTTGTCCTTACCTAATAACTACATTAGAAAACTGCATTTTCAATGTACGGTTGTTTGCCGTTATGCAGGGCGCGAAATTGAGCACCAAATATTCTTAAAATGTGTGTCCAGGCACGTAAAAATGTAAAAGGATGCCCGATTGACCCAAAATAATGTCGCGACGATCATCTCACATCTCAGAAATACTATATATATATATACATATATTATCATAACGTCGTTTTCGTCTAGTATTGGGTAGAATGTTTTGCATTGTACGTTAATCCGGCAAGTATAGGGTAGATTGTACTCTGATCCGGTCAATATAGGATGGATTGTACTCTGATTCGGTCAGTATAGGATGGATTGTACTCTGATCCGGTCAGTATAGGATGGATTGTACTCTGATCCGGTCAATATAGGATGGATTGTACTCTGATTCGGTCAGTATAGGGTAGATTGTACTCTGATCCGGTCAATATAGGATGGATTGTACTCTGATTCGGTCAGTATAGGATGGATTGTACTCTGATCCGGTCAGTATAGGATGGATTGTACTCTGATCCGGTCAGTATAGGTAAATCAAGATTTCTTATATTCGTACCATGAATGTATTATTTCGTGGCTATAAACTATTGCAAGTGTAGGACTTCTTTTGCTTATGTTTTATGTTAACCTGTAAGTCATTTTACTGATTTATGCTAAGTTCCCAAACAAACCATTGTCCCGCCAGGATTCGAATTCTTTTTGGGCATATGCAGAAATTTAAAGCAATTTACAGAGCAGTACATACTGAGTAGCCTACCTTGGCTTGTTAGTCATGTAGTGACCTATAGAAATAGAAACAACATTGATATATTGCTTATTAGTATAAGTAATCAGCAATTTATACATGTCGCTTTCCAATGTAGACAAATCTCTAGATGCACATTTACTATTATTATTATTATTACCATTACTCGCCTTCTAGGCCTACACCTAAACTAATATTAGTAGCAATAATAAAGCAGGTGTTCCTAATGCCAGTCGCAAAGCTTAGTTCGATATAGATCTTAGAAATATCCTTAGAAGTTGTCGATCTAAGCTGTATAATGCTTTATGTTTAGTATCACTTCTACAGCGAAAACACGGTTTCTCGTTAGTGTATAAATCTACACTTAGACTTAGGTCTAAAATACATTACAACGCAGTCATGTGCGGTTTCGATCTTATATTTACGGTCGCGATCGCTTAGATCCAAATCTAAATGCTACCCAGTGGCACAGCGGTATGTCTGCGGACTTACAACGCTAGAAACCGGATTTCGAAACCCGTGGTGAGCAGAGCACAGATAGTCCATTGTGTAGCGTTGTGCTTAGCTACAAACAAAATCTAAATCTACCTAAGTCTAGGCTAGCCTACTAAGCTCTAGGTTACACTCATCACATGACTGTATTTATGGAAAACCCCAAGAAAGAATAAAAGAAAAAGGGGGACAATAGCACTGGTTATCAAAGTAGCGGTAATTGTAGTAGAAAAGTTGGCCGTTTGTTGTGAATTTTACGAGAAGAAACTCAGCAATAAAGGGACATATGACTTGTTGATGTTTTTTTGTTTTGTTTGGGGGGGGGGCAGATGTTTTTATACATCTGAAAATATCTTCTGACACCTAAAAATTTTGGTAGCTGTGCCCGGGTGGCACTTGAAAAGTTAATTTTATGGCTTGTTTATGTAACATGATAAAACGTGTGTGCAACTAGCATGTGTGTGTGTGATTATTATTTTAATGCACTGTGGGTATGCCTATATATATACCGTAATAATGTTAACTTACAGAATGTTTTAACTGCATGTAATAACGAAATAAAGGTGTCTCAAGTTTGTTTGTTTTTTTTAAATTGAAAACATATACTACTCTTGTAGTAATCAAAATATTCAAGAAGTTGTAACTTGTATTTATTTTGTGTTTCTTAGGCCTTCTTGTGTTATTTTAGGTGTTTCACTGTAAGTATAACACTTTATACGTTGATACGCTTTTACCTTTATTATTAAAACACCTCTAAGCTAGATATTTTTCATGTTTATTCTTGTCAAACATATGGGTTATTATACACAGGAATAGTATTACAACCACAACTCAGATATGGGTTTTTATACACAGGAATAGTATTACAACCACAACTCAGATATGGGTTATTATAAACAGGAGTAGTATTACAGCCACAACTCGGATATGGGTTATTATACACAGGAATAGTATTACAACCACAACTCAGAGTTGACATGCACAGACGGATCTAAATAAACCATGTTTAAGTTCCGGTTTTACAATAATGTTATTCCTAAAGCTAATATATCAACAAAACATGAAATCCAACTTGTTGTAGCAACAGTAACTGAACATAGAAAACCATTCTTTCAAATATATATGTGTTTACTGTGTTGCTGTTTGTGTATAAAATCTTACTCGCACCCTAAATTCATAAGTAACTTCTATACAGTGATTATAATGAAAAAAATGAAACCTCTTCTAAAGTTTTTATAAGCTATCAGTGTTTATGTTGAGAAATATTTTACAGCTAGTTTATATAATCAACATGTGATACCAAAAATATGTATTCTTATGTTAAATATATATTAGATATATGATTTCAAAAACTTTCATTTTTCTGACACGCTGTTTACATATATAGAGCACAATGTTGGTTCACTTGTTGTCGACGTTATTATTAGAATAGTTATTCCTTCTTGACCTATTTCTCATATGATCGATTTTTCTCTGACTGTCTTTATATTAATTTCCAATTTTCACACTCCATATGGGAAGTTTGGGACATGATTAGGAAAATAGGAAAGGAATTGTGGTCGATGGGTATTCCATTACATGTTTCTTAAACCTTACATATAACCTTACAATGGTATAATGGAGAGTAAGATCGTGCTCACTTTAACCGAAGTGTGTAGAAACAGCGAGTTATTCGTATGCAATTTCAATACAAAGAAAAATAAGGATTTTTATTCGGTATGAATTAATGTACGTGTTCAACTATATGAATAAGTGCGCTTACAAAATACACATACTTATGCATATCATACAGTGTGATTGGTTATTAAGGAAGCACCATATTTCAAAAGTTTATGTCTTAAAACTACATAGGTGTCCTCCCAGGAGTACTAAATTCCACCAAAGGCACGTCGAGAATTATGGGTTTTATTCAGGAAAGTTTAGACGAGCTATAAAATGTTTCAAAGTCATATCATATACTGCATAGTTTCAATCACTTTTCTTACAGATTGTTTTTATTCCTGTTCTTTATTTCTTTCAACAATACGAGATCAGGGATTTGAATAAAGAGCACGAAAGTATGCAGAATATTGTGAAGATCAATAATCACTGTCGAGAACATATGATGCTTCCAGTAGCTTCACTTAGAGACGGGCTTGATATGCTAATTGAAAGCAACGAAAACTATATTGAACACCTTCTGTGACAGTTTTTAAATCGCATCGTAAAACATCCAAACAGTTTTGAGTAAAACTTGCGATTCTCAAAGTGCCTTTGGTGAATTTATTTTTACTTTTTGAAGTTAGGACAAGTGGTTTGAAGGAAATAACATTTAATTTTTTTTATAATCACTTGTGGAAATCGTGGCACTGAATGGAAAACAAAACCCATGGCTTATATCATAAAATATTCAATATACCAACTTTGCCGATCTGGTGATTGCATGAGTGATATCAGACAGGGTATAAACTATACAAATTAGTACCCAAGCCTTATCAATAGGATACATCATACAAATTATTAATAAAGCTAACGGTATACTTCAAAAAGGGACGAGAGAGAGAATTATTATCAAAACTTATGGATAAGACTTACAGTGCTGTCGGTTTGATTACTACAGAGTCTGAAACTAGTTGTGGAATTATGAGGATAAAATAACCTAAAAAAGCGAATAAGTGTTTAGAATCTCCTTAATCTGTGTATTTTATCATCTACTTTAAAAAAGACTACGTGATTATCTTCTGGATCGAATACGAGCTTTCTTAACGGTATGTTAATCTACTATGGAAACAGTATATAACTCGACTCCAGATCCTTCAAGTCCCCTGAACAATATAATAATTTATACTTAGAGATATGTGACTAGACTCCAGATCCTTCAAGTCCCTGAACAATATACTAATTTATACTTAGAGATATGTGGCTATATTCCAGATCCTTCGAGTCTCCTGCTCGTTATTTTAATCTACTTTGAAAGTAGTATGTAGCTCGACTCCAGATCCTGCGAGTCTCTTTTACGATACATTTATCTATTTAGAGATGCGTGGTTAGCCTCTTTATTCTGTAAGCGAATAGAACTGGTAAATAAAGAAAATATTTGATAAGCTTCTCCTGTGTATTTATCCACGTTCATCTTGTTTTTCAGTTGTATTGTTGGACACAACTACAGAAAGCACCCTGGACTGGACTAGATACCCCTATGGACCGCAGGCTAGAACCCCAGGGGTAAGTGCTCTTTTTTGATATTGCTTAATTATTTTTCCGTATTGGAGATATCATAATGTTGTTTGTGTGTGGATCTGTTGTAAGATATTGATGATAATTAACATTTACCTCATATTAAAGTTTTTCTTAGTTTAGCTAGAATTTTGTGTTGAAACTATACGTGTTCTTATCTCAGCAATGACTCTTAAACTCTGCAAACGAGTTGTTTAAATATATATACCAACCTTGATAACTGAAAGTTAACCTTACCCAAGAATAGGTAGGCAGAATTATTTTATTATCAACTAGCATAAAATACCCACGCTCCGCTGCGGGAGATTCTAAAGTCCCCTCATGATTCACAGAGGTCTCAATGTACCAATCAAGCATCTCCATTATCTTAATTACTTCTATATCTATCCACCAATCTAATGCACCAATCCTTTAATTGATTTGTCTGTTGTCGTTTTCCGAACTTAATTCAATTCAACTCTTTTAAAAGCAAAGAGTTTTAATTTAGCTCTCAGATTCCTTTTTTTTTTTCTCTGTGTGATTTTATTTGAATTCTTTTCATTCATACCATATTGAATTTTGTTCATTTTTGGTGAAATATGTCCATTTTTCCCAATTTTGGATCTAGATTTTACCATTCTGTTCTTTTTCAACAAAATTTAGCAGAAAACCTCCAAATATTGTTCATTCTGCAAGTGAGAATCAGAAAAAGTATGACACCTTTCTATAAACCTTCAAGAAGGCAGAATTATGGGGCTTAGGGGCTATAGTGCAAAACTATAGGGCAAAAAATTGGCCACAATTTTTTGAATGAAATCTAAAAAATAATATCCTCAGAATCCTCTTAGTATGAGTACAAAGATTTAGGTCTCTAGGTTTTTCCTCTTGAAGCTATGGTGGTCACAGCTATGATGTACTAACCATCAGATGTTCAAAAGGATGTGTTTAGCAATAGACATATAGATTGATGTATTCAGCAACAGATTTGCAGATGGGTGTATTTTACAACAAATATTCGGATAATGTATTTGAAACAAAAATTAGGGACAAAATTGTTTGCATCTGTAACAACTTACTCTGATTAGTTCCAAGATTATACAAGAGAACCTCTATTTCCCATTGACTGTTTCTTGTTTCCAGCCCGGGATATTTACTTAAGAATCGCATATTATTTCTTTCTATATGTCTTTAATGTCTTGTCATAGATATTTGCACGATCTTGAGAAAGCTTCAAACGAGTGCACACCCCTTCTCTATAACTATTATTCTTTTCATCGAAATGTCATTTGCATTACTATTAGTTTTCTTTTTATTATCTTTTATGAAAACAAGCCATGAACAGCTGTTAATCGTGGAAAATTGTTCGCGTTTTCACTAATGTCAGCCACAAACTTCCCTCCTATGCTACAGTTGCATTAATCATTGTTGGCTTCCTAGTTGATTTTGAAGATACCGCCTGTGTGTGTGTGTGTGTAGAATGATACTTATGTAAAAATATACACTTGTACATCTGCAAGAGGCAAAATTTACACTAGTGAGGTCAAATTTTACCCATTTTTGCTTACTGGATATGTATAATTTGATCGCCAGATGGCACTTCATTTTCTCTAACGACACGCATTTTTAAATGAATCTTTATAATTTATTGTTTTAATTTACAAAAATGTTTCAGCAGAGAGCGCTGTCGTAGTAGGGAAAACAAATGTTACAGAAAGAACAAAGTTTTTTTTTAAAGGAAATGGTGATAAGAAAGGAATTGAAGAAGAATTGTAAGGAAAAATTAGCCGAGAATAACTTAAAAAGGAACTGTGGGAAAACAGTAATAAGGAAGAGCTTGAGGAGCAACTGTGATAAATCCGAGTCATGAAGAGCTTGAAGAAGAACTGTGAGAAAACAGTAGTCAGGAAGAGCTTGAAGAATAACTGTAAGAAAACAGTAGCCAGAAAGAGCTTGTGGAAGAAGTGTGAGAAAATAGTAGCCAGGAAGAGCTCGAGGAACAACTTTAAGAAAACAGTAGCCAGAAAGAGCTTGTGGGAGAAGTGTGAGAAAACAGTAGCCAGGAAGAGCTCGAGGAACAACTTTAAGAAAACAGTAGCCAGAAAGAGCTTGTGGAAGAAGTGTGAGAAAACAGTAGCCAGGAAGAGCTTGAGGAACAACTTTAAGAAAACAGTAGCCAGAAAGAGCTTGTGGAAGAAGTGTGAGAAAACAGTAGCCAGGAAGAGCTTGAGGAACAACTTTAAGAAAACAGTAGCCAGAAAGAGCTTGTGGAAGAAGTGTGAGAAAACAGTAGCCAGGAAGAGCTTGTGGAAGAAGTGTGAGAAAATAGTAGCCAGGAAGAGCTTGAGGAACAACTTTAAGAAACGTGATCAGAAATAATATGAAGACGTGTTTATAAGAAGATTAATCATAAAGAAAACTGAAAGAGAACTTCCAAAAAAAAAAACTAGAATGAAATAACTTAAAGTCAAAAATCAGAATAAATAAATACATCCGAAAAAATAAAATAAAAAAGTTTCTTAAAAGATCGGCTAGAAAGAACATGAAGATAGATTTGTAGTGTAAGCGGTGAATAAATAGATGAGACATTAAGACACATGTAGAAAAGAATAGTCAGAAACATAACTAGTGCTAGAAAGAACGTGAAGATAGATTTGTAGTGTAAGCGGTGAATAAATAAAAGAGACATTAAGACACATGTAGAAAAGAATAGTCAGAAACATAACTAGTGCTAGAAAGAACGTGAAGATAGATTTGTAGTGTAAGCGGTGAATAAATAGAAGAGACATTAAGACACATGTAGAAAAGAATAGTCAGAAACATAACTACTGACTTGTAGGACAACTTTTCAAAAACTTGAAGATATTATTTTAAGAAAATTGATTATAAACAATATATATATAAGAACGTTTTAAAAAGTACGAAGGGAACGTTGGCAAAAATAAATGTGGTCTTGGTGTTTTGATATTTCGTTTTTGAACAGAGGTTCATGGAAATATTATATGGGTATGTTGTTCATTGATATATGTTATCTATAGAAAAAGATTGAGAAGTGAGATTTTCATAAATACATTACTTTAGTGGTGCCTACTTTATGTCAGTGACATACTTCAAATTTACAGACTTTATCACCAGTCTGTCGTTCAGCTTGCGTGCATACATTAAGAGAAAACTCGAACTTGGTTGAACTGGAGGCTAGTGATAATTAGAGGTTGTTTCCTGAGAGACTGCAGGTGTTAGAGTAATTATCGCTATAAGTACTCTTTCCTTGTTTAGGCGGTACTCAAGGTACATCCCAATGATGGTGGGCGAAAGTTGTTGACCAAACAGTCGACCACATAAAGCTCAAATGATAATTATTTGACAAGAACATGATGTAAGTGCTTTTAACAGTTTGCACGTGAATCGTGAGCACGTGAGGCTAGGTGTTTGTAGTATATATAGTTGCTTCTATCTAGGACCGAAAAACCAGAGTTCCTTTATGTTCGTTAGATATACACTCACAGTTTGTGGATTTCTCAAAATCAATACTCAATACGGGCACGGAGAAATCGTTTCTTAATGAAAATAAACACATATACTCTGAACAAATTAGAATGTACTGTTGTTGTTAATTTTTCATGTTAAAAAGATACTTGACAGTAGTGTGGTTGGCTTTACTGTGTACGGAGATGCAATAATTTTAGCTAATTATTAGTCAGGACATTTTGTGCTTACTGTTATTGTTCTAGTGAGCACTTACAACTAGAACTCAAATTCGATGACGAAGAACCCACTTTGAGACTAATAATGCTTGGAGACGGCTTGAATGGGTAATGAAGAAAAACTTTAATATAAGGTATCTGATGATGACAAAACCTTGTCGAAACGTTGTACATTTGCTGTTATGTTAAACTTATGTTAAAGTTTTTCTTCATTACCTATTCAAGCCATCTCCAAGCATTACAACTATAGAACGTTCTATGACGTAAGTTGTTATATGAATCAGTGATTAGCATCATATTTCTTAAAATATTGACTCTAATGTGATCAACGACTGAAAGAACTTTTAAGACACGAGTTGATTAACTGTTAATGTTTTAACCTCTTTAACATTATACGTTCACTTCCTTACTTAATATATAGCGAAGTTTGTCATTGCCACTTTACGCTTCCCTAATTTCATATTTCGCTTAGTTACGTCTCAGGGTATTTATCAAATGAACGAAGGTTAGATTTTAAAATCACGATGCTATCTAAATATTTAATGAAATATCAAATGTGAAAAATGTGTTTAATGACATACAACATGTGAAACGTGTGTAATCTTCATCATCTAAAACATGTATTTAATGTCATACCACAGGAGAAGACGTGTTTCATGCTTCATGTGACATGGGCCTACTTTTACACAATACATGAAAAGCGTTTTTAATGCCATATAACATGTAAAATATGTTTAATGCCATAATGCAGATGAAAACAGCAGTTTATTTCCATGCCACAAATGACTATATATGTTCAAATACAATTAAACCCAATAAATACACAGACTGTATCTAAAACTGAGGCTTAACTAGACAAGCAAACATTTCTGAAATAGGCTGTGTTATAGGGTGATTACTTTGTGCAACTATCTATGCTGCTTCTCAGTTTGAACCTAACTTGTGGTTGTATTTGAGATTTGTATAGTCAACTAAAAATCTTAGCCTATCACGAACACTAAGCAGTAATACGAAAACACTGCTGGTTCGTTTTATAGTGTGTTGAAAATTGAATCTTTATTAGAAAAAGTACCCTCGAGCTGTGAGCTAGACTACTTGGAATAAAACGAAGTCCATATAGGGTTGGAAACGATACAGTTGCTGATGTAATTAGAGTCGTAATTAAAAATTGATTGTTGGGGAATCACAGAGGGGTCGTTATCCGACGAGGCTTATGCTGCAGCATGATGAGTCGTTGTTGGCATTTCTTGGTGATCCCAGTTGTAGCTGTCTTCCACGTGGGTGGGCCAATAGTTAGAACAACAAACGTGTTCCGAGACCACACCTGTAGTAACAAATAACCTGTGGAAATTAAGGGTCGATCCAATCCATAAACAAACGTTAGGGTAATACATGTGAGACAGAAAATACACAGTTCTGAAAAGAAAATATTTATACCATGGCATAGGAAAAGCAAAAAATATATTGTAGAGAAAAAATAGAATATATGTTATATTAAAAAGTTCGTGGGAAAAACTATTGAAACTATACTGTGTATATATATATATAACAAAAATTAAAATGTAGAAGAAAAATTCCATATTATTTGTACTAAACATTTATCCAGGATAAGAACAGGATCTATGTTATTTTACAGAGTTGTCGGAAAAGAAATAATAACTATACTGTAAAAAAAGTGGGGTCTGGAAAGTAAGTGAGAAATTACATTGTTCAGACGCAATGTTATCCTTCTACGGACCACTCACTTCACAATTTCAGAAGTGATCTCCTCAGACATGTGTAGTATTATATAATATCAATGGCGTAACTCATTGTACACAAAGTTCTGCTTTTATCAACCAATAACAGTTAAGGATTTATACAACCTACAATGTGTGTTGTCCGTCATTGGTGATAGACACAAAAACAGTGGTTAAGTTCGTTCATTTTATTTGATGTTGGCAAAAGCTGCTATTACGAAATATTCTTACACCATAGAAGAAAAAAAAACTATATTCCTCAATAATTTAACTTATCTTAATGAATTCATGAAAGGCTGTCTTCACCACTTTTAACACTATCAGTCATGAAACAAAGATGAGTTTCTGACCTCCAAACTAACTCCTTTACATGTTGTGGTACCTACTTTTTGCTTTCACATGCTTTTGTCAAAGCCAGTAAGTATTTGTTTATATTTGCTTCTTTTTGCCTTCCCACCCAAATTAACTCCTTTACATGTTGTGGTATCTTCGTTTTGCTTTCACATTCAAACTAACTCATTTACATGTTGTGGTACCTTCTTTTTGCTTTCACATACGTTTGTCAAAATCAATAAGTATTTGTTTATATTTAGCTTAATCGTCACGACAGATATGTGTACCCTGTCTGATGAAGTTATTGCTGTTTGTTCTTCGTGATGATGAGGTTAAGACTAACTTTAGCAACGCGTAACAGTTCATACTCTCTTCTTTTCCATTTCTAGAAGCTAATATACGAAAAATCTATTTTTCTCATTTTGCCTTCGAACTTAATATCATCACTTGTTTTCTTCTCGTCGGTAGGACAGCGTGACGACAATAGTTTCTGTACTCCTTTTAAAAGATGATGTTATTACACAGTTGATTCTATAGCACAATTCGTATTTCAACTTAAATATTCATTCAACATTCATTTCTGTTTCCAACATCAAGTTGGATTGCTCATTAACTGACTTCAGGTTTGCACGATGTTATTCCTTGCGTACTGAGGAAGACGGGCACATGATTTTATAAGCAACAGCTAAATCTCAGAATTCGAATATGCAATCACGCTCTTCTGTACATACTTAGAATGCAAACCACGCAAATGTTTGCATATATGATAAACAAGCCTGGCGAGAATACCCTACTTACTTTAGCCTACGAGTCCGTGGAAGAAACTTCGCCTTTCATGTGCAAATTAAATTCTGGATAAATCTATCATTCTGTTTTTTGTTTGAGTTCATTTCAATGTTTAGAAAATACTAAAGAATACATTTTATGACAGTTTTTAAATTGATTGTTCTTCTAGAACATTTATCAGCAAGCTTGGTTGGTTGGGAAATGTCAAGAAGTTTAAAAACAGAAAGCGTGGCGGAGGTTAACGTTCTATTGATGTGTGATTAGTTAGTTACTAGTTTATTCGGACTACTAACCATGACAACGAATAGATATCCAATTGCCACAACTTCACCGTATATAAGTGCTGTTATAAGTTAGCAGGAAAAGATAAATAATTTCAGTTTTTTTTGTGTTATCGTATTATAGTCACTAGAGAAATGTTTATACGAAAACTAAAATTTAACTGTAGGATACTGAAATTTTCCAGCCAGACAGCAAATGAGAATATGTATATCATTGATAGCTTAAAAACTAACTGGGGGAATGTTGATTATATTCGTCTCTCAAAAAATACGAAATGTATCTGTATGTCCGTCGTTATCAACGGACACAGATCATTTTTGGCAGAACATTGAGGAATAATGTTCTACATATGTCCACCAAGTTTAATTAAAATCCTACTTTTGACTGTGTTATAGAACAAAAATGATGTGAAAATCGGTTCCCATGTTAACAGATACGGATTTTTTTTAATATTCGTGACCTTACTGTGACCTTGACCTTTGACTATTCAAGATGTAATTACTTCTAAGTTGGATAATATTCCAATTTTATACCAACTTTCGTACAAATCCATTCAGCTGTTTTGAGAAATCTTGCTGACAAACACACAGGGTGAAAAAATCAATGCTTGCCTGAAACAAGAATGTAGGCGTTGTTACATGTGGTTCTACAAAAAAATACAAAAATGTTCATTCATTTACCAAACTTATAATAATAATACCATATTTATGAAGTTATTTTTATTATCTCAGAGCGTGAGCAATTTTAGCATGCCTACTCATACCAAACAAATTAAATCTTAAATGAAATGATGGGTGCTCCAATAAGTTTACATTTGTTTATCAAGTGTCTCTTGTTGTATGTATGAAACCTGAATTTTAAGGTAACAAAAATGAGAAAATAACACCATCTTACTTGATTTATTTGTGTATGATGTATTTAGGTGCATATATATACATACTCGAATTCTTTCGTGTTTATCAAACTGTTCTTTATTTATCAAACTTCCGGGCTGTGTATGTTGAACGGAAAAGTAGCTTGTGTTAGTGGAAAACATAAACTATAATTCATTGTGGAATAAATAGAGTTGTTTAAACATTTGTTTAACAACAAGTTAAAACTTGGAATGGTTTATTCTTTCATTGGGGTATGTGTCTTTGAGCTAGACTAGTTTCGGAGAATTCCACTCCTCATCAGTGACCCTGGACACTACCACCAATGAAACTAGTCTGGCTCACAGACACACACCCCAATGAAAGAATAAACCATTCCAAGTTTTAACTTGTTGTTAAACAAATGTTTAAACAACTCTATTTATTCCACAATGAATTATAGTTTATGTTTTCCACTAACACAAG